TGCGAGTCCGCTACAGCTTGTTGCCTAGGTTGACATGGATAGCCTATTTATATGTTAGCTCGAACTGCATGTGAGCTTGCTATCGTAACGTACCTTCTTGTTGGTGTATGCCTCGAGACCAGCCTCGCCCAGCTCTCTGCCAATACCAGACTGTTTCACACCCCCGAATGGAATACGGATATCAGAATCGTTGCTCGAGTTGATCCAGACCATGCCCGCTTCAATACGTCTAGCAACGCGATGAGCCTTAGTGATGTTCTCGGTGAAGACGGCTGCACCGAGACCGTATGTTGTGTCATTGGCACGGTTGATTGCCTCCTCCTCTTCCTTGAACGAGCTGATAACGACGAAAGGACCAAAGACTTCCTCGCGGTAGATCTTCATGTTATCCTTGACGTTTGTGAAGATGGTGGGTGAGACGAAGAAGCCCTTGCCACCAGCGTTCTTGTACGCTTCTCCACCCGCAATGAGGGTGGCGCCCTCCGACTTGCCAGACTCGATGTACGACAAGACGCGGTCGAACTGCGTCTTGGTCACCTGCGGCCCCTGGAATGTGTCGTCTTTGAAGGGATCGCCAACCACAGAGGTGGTCTTCACGTGCTCCTTGAACGCCTCGACAAACTTGTCGTAGATGCCTTCTTGGACTAAGATTCTTGATGTCGCCGTGCAAACTTGACCCTGGTTGTACCTACATGGTGTGAGCTCAGTCAGGAGAACAATGTAGATACGACTTACATGATGCCAACGTGACTCCATTTGACTGCTTGATCAAGGTCTGCGTCGTCAAAGACTACTAGAGGTGATTTACCACCTGTCTCAAGGGTGATATTCTTCATGTTGACAGCCGCCATCTTCATGATCTCCTTTCCTGTGGCTGTAGATCCAGTGAATGCAATCTTGTCGACGTCGAGATGTTGGGCCAGAGCTGCACCAGCTTTCCTTCCCTCGCCGTTGATGAAGTTGATGACACCAGGAGGGAAGCCAGCCTCCTTAACCAAGTTTCCGAGGTAAAGGATAGAAAGGGGTGTCTGTTCAGCTGCCTTCAAGACTACTGTGTTACCAGTGCAGAGAGCAGGTCCCAGCTTCCACGCTGCCATTGCAAGAGGGAAGTTCCATGGGATAATCTGACCACACACACCAAGAGGCTCACGGACTGTGTAAGCCAGCTTGAGTGGTGATGTATCAATCACCGTGCCGTGGATCTTGTTGGCATATCCTGCGTAGTACTTGATAGTGCCAACAACCTCACCCAAGTCATCGTTCAGCGAGACAGAATAAGGCTTGCCATTGTCCCATGTCTCGATGGTGGCAAGTGTTTCCTTGTGCTCTTCAATCAACTGGGCGAACTTGTAGAGGAGGTCAGCTCGGGCATTGGTGTCCATGTCTCGCCAGTCTGGGTTCTTGAATGCTTTCCGCGCAGCTGCTACGGCAATGTCCACATCTTCGGGTCCAGCGGCATAGACAGAGACGATCTCGCTCTCATCACTGGACCGTGTCAGTCATAGCTACCAATGAAGGCAGCAAGCGTACCTCGGGTTGATCGAAGTGATAGTCTCGCCCGACTTTGACTTGACGAATTCATTGTTGATGAAGAGACCCCTTGGCTGCTGGTACTTGCGACCATTCGGCGCAGTAAGCTCAACGAAGAGGTCAGACATGTTGGTTTGAGTACTGTAGTGTCTCCACAAGGGGCCGTAACAACTTCTAGGAGCTCTGCGTATGGAAGTTTGGAAGGGAACAGATGGTTTGGAGCGAAGTGAAGCGCGAGTGAGGGCGGAGTAGAGACAGGACATCTCCCAGGCCGGCGAGGAGACAGCTAGCTATCTATAGGCTGCAGACATGTAGGACGCTGATGACGACCCGCGGGACAGCCGTAGCTTCCCTTGATAGTGTGGACCCCGCCATCGATGCCCGTACCTAGCTTATCCGCATGCAACTGCCTGTTTCAGACATCCGTCTTCCAGATATCGGCCGCTCTCATCAACTTTATCAACCACGGCTATAGATGCGACACGTCCCCGAGGTCCACGGGCTGAACAGACGCGTGCCGTCAGGTGAGTAGGCGAGGCGGGCTGGGCAGTCGTCGCGCGACGCGTCGGCGTCCAGAGTCGGCAACAGCCCTGTCGCTACCCCACCACCATCACGAGAAACTCGCGCGCGCATCCAACAATCTTCTTATTCCCGATCCTGCGCAAACCAAGACTCTCCACCGACTACACACCGGCCGCAATCCAACGTTTGTCACACAATGTCGCGAGGCAGCACCACAAAGATACAAACCCACTTACTCAGACTGCCGCAGACACTCGCCGCGCTCCCTCTCGCCCTCGCAGACCCCACCGTAGACATGGTGGAAGAAGCGACGCTGCCCGTTACCCCCGAAGCCGAACGCCCCGATGCCTCGATAGACGTTGCGCACTCGCTCGAATACTGGAATAACGTCTCGCCAGACGTCAATGGCATGCTGGGCGGGTTTCCCCAAACTTCGCGCATCGATCTGCAGGGCTCTTCAAATTTCCTCACAAAATTGCGCCGGGGCAAGGCGCAGGGTTCTAAGAAGCCGCTACCGCCTCTGGAGCGTGTCGCCGACTGTGGCGCGGGCATCGGACGTATAACGAAAGGCTTGCTGTTGGGCGTCAGTAAACAAGTGGATATAGTAGAGCCAGTGAAGAAGTTCACAGACGAGCTGGTACAAAGTCTGGGGAACGGCGAGTATGCCGGAGATGGAGACGCAAAGTCTGGCAAGGGCCAGGTGGGAGAAGTCATAAACCTGGGGTTGCAAGACTGGATACCAGAGCCGGGCGCATACGATGTGATCTGGAACCAATGGTGTGTGGGACACTTGACAGACGCCCAATTCGTTGTCTATATGCGGAGATGTGGCGAAGGCCTCAAGAAGGCGGCAGAGGGAGATGCGACAAGTCGGAGCTGGATTATAGTCAAGGAGAACATGTCTACGGATATCCACCACAAGGACATCTACGACGATGAAGACTCGAGCGTCACGCGGTCAGATAAGACGTTCAGGGCTCTGTTTCAGGAGGCGGGACTGAAGATTGTGGCGACGGAGCAACAAAGAGGGATGCCGAGGGAGTTGTTCCCAGTCAGGATGTATGCGCTCAGACCTGAGTAGACGTATGCACAGTCCTTCTGTTAGTGGGCTAGGGTGTCAGGCGCAGGAATCATGATACCCCAGGCGTCTTTATTAGAATGAACGCTATTACCATGCTTACACTCATCTCAACCCTATAGTATCAAAACTGCCGTACCCCTCATCGTGCCTCTACACCTCACCAATCTCGGCAAACTTATGCGCAAACCCAAGCGAAAGCACCGGTACCCCATCCACAGGTTCATGTACCGGCAACTTCCCCACCGTAACCTTCTTCTTCACCACCTTTGGTTTCGCAGCATCCTTCTCTTCCGTTTCCGCTCCCCCAGACGTATCCATCACATCTTCAAATTCCTCTTCCTCCTCTTCTTCGTCTTCGTCCCCTTCTTCGCCTTCTTCCTCACCGTCATCCGCACCCTGCGCGCCAGGATCAGGGTAACTGGCCGGATACTTCTGCCTGAGATACTTGATATCGAAAACCTCTTGATGCGCATGTTTCCAGAGATCCACAATCTCATCCGCGGAAAGCACGTTTTTGACGCGGGTAGTAGGGATGGCTTCAGAGTCTAGTCGTTCCGACTCGGGCACAGCGTCTTCGTCGTCATCCTCTTCTGTGGTTGTGGTAGTTGCATCTGGCTTGCGGGGCGCGATACCCCATTCTTCGGGTACAAAACACCACTCTGACGCTTTGCGGATTCGTTCTTCGACCCAGCCTTCCTCCATGGGCTCTAGCCTCTTTCGTAGCAATGTGCCTGCCATTCCTGCTGCCATGCCACCTCCGGCATTCATCGGGAAAGAAGGGTTGGGAAATGGATGGAGTGCCTCGAATTTTGCTGTGTTGGTGGGTAGGGCTTGTATGCTGGTCATTCTCCGTCGCACGTCGCGCTCAACGAGGACTGCATTGCCTGCGGCGTCGACCATGGGGTTGCCGGCGGCATCTTTGGAGGGGATGTGATGTTTTTGCGTGACGAGCTTGGATTGGTGGCGGTAGCCGCCGTTTATGAGGAGATGGATTGAGTTGAGGTAGGATGTTACTGTCCTGGTTGTTTGTTGGATTTGTGGCCTAGCATCTCGTCAGCAGGTGTCTCACCGGGTACGGTGATAGTCCAAGTCCTGCACGTCAAGGCTGGCTTGAAAAAGACATGATGAACGGAGATATCTTATTGCGCGTAGCAAAGAAATCAGACGTGAAGAGTTCAAACCAGACGACGCGTACGCGAGACCAAGCCGTATAACAAACACACCCGCATCCCAACGTGAACTCACTACCAGCCGCTCACTTACCAATCTACAACCTCGCCCCGACTCATCTTATACTGCATCTCAGCCTGCAACCGTTCCATACCCTTGATCATCGGCATCAACTGACTGCGCAGCTGATCCAACAGCCGAATGTCCTCCCGATCGGGCGCACCCTGGAAGTTTTGATTCATCTTTGCCTATACTTTCCCGCTCTTTTGCTTGCGTTCCAACTCTTTTCCACTAATGACAAACTGACTTTGAGGGACTGCAGGGTGCCTGATGGAGGATAGGGAAGACTAATGTGAAGATGTGGAGGTGCTTGAAGATGGGTGGAGTGATTGGTTGATGGATGGGCCTTTAACACGAGACGCTTGTGTGTATTAGGCTTAGTGCACTTGGCGCGCCAAAGAAGCTTGGGGAAGGGACCTCGGGAGTGACTTCAAATCCTTTTCACGTACTGTATTGATGCACTAGATTTCGATTTGTCTCAACTGAATGCAAGAGGAGCTACATACTACTACTGGAAATGACAGGTGAGATGCTAGAAAGAAACCAGACTACTTCGCAAACAACCTTGGAAAGCAGCTAGCGCTCCGACCATCCCTCTATTACACTCGTCCATAGCCTCAACTCTCGCGTCCACTCATCAGACCTTCTCTCCAACAAGCGCAACGACACTAGCGAAACCTGCGTCAGGCTTAGGCTTGACAGACAGCCTTCCCTCATCGGGGTACCAATCAGCCGTGTGGGTAATGTCACTCTCTCCGTCCGCGTCCCTGTTGACGGCAACGGGAATACCAAAGAGGCGAATGGTCCCGCCGCTTCCAACATGACTGTGAAACTCTGTGATCGCGTCGCCAGAGAATTCGACTTCGAACGCGAGGTTTGAGACGACGACGAATTGTACGACGCGAGCCAGACCCTTGACTTCGTCTGGGGCGTCACTCTTGAGTTTGTAGGTAGAGTTGCCGCGAACATCCCTTTGTCTTGAGTGAGCGACTGTCTGGGTAATATGTTAAGAGTGGATGGAGGGAAGGAAGATGCACGTACCACCTTCCCGATTGAATGTCAATCGCGCGGAATTGATCGTCCCAAGACATGGTGATTGTAGTGTGGAGTTGATCTCCGTCGGTGAGCACGGTCCCCTCCTCCGATTGATCGTCTTTGACATCCAGAGAGAGCCAAGGCACATAGTGATCACCGCCTCCATTCGTGTGGTTGAAGCTATTCTCATCAACGCTGTTTCCGGTGTTGAAGTCGAAAGACACTTCACTGCGCGACTTGTTGGTATCGCCCCGATTCCTCAACCAATCCGTCACCTGCTCGGCGTAGTTCGGAGCAGAGTAGAGTGGGACATAGTAGTCGGCATTGGGTGGTGCTACGGCGTTGTTGGCTGTGATTTGCTGCAGTATGGCGTCGGCGTCCGGGGCACCAAGGGTGGTGACGGGCATGTTAAAGCTGGACCAGATGTAAGCTTTTGAGTCATGGTTATATAGGTTGTTAGTTTACCCTGGGTGGGATTGAGGGGTATCAACGGCAGTTCGGATACCCTTTTTGTGTTGTATGTGCGGGTATGCGGTGCCGCTATAGGTTTGCATTGTCCACATGTCGGTTTGAGATACAGCGTTGTTGTAGTGCGCCACCGATGCCTGGAGTTGTGGTTGATTCTGCACGCTCCAAGAGAAGAAGGTCTCACCGGGAGCAGCCAAGTATCTCTTGTACTCCTCCCATCGTGTTCTGGCCTTTCTTGTGGCATCATCCAAAGCATATCTTGCTGCACGCTCGTTCATCTTTGCTTCGTACACGCGTACTTCGTGAGCAGAATTTGGATTACCACCCTAATTTGTTGAATCAGTATTCTTCTCTTCCACGTGGGTGATGAATTGCTTGCCAGATCCACGTTATCCATGTATGTCAGAAGCTCACGGGAGAATGAGTTCCCGCTCGTATCGGATGGGTCGTAGAACAGCCTATCAGTGCGCAATTGCCTGTCGCCGATCTCGTATAGGCCCTGATTGGCATACGTTGGATCGATCAAACTGGAGGGACCAGCGAGTGGTGCACGTTGAGGTTTAGTGCTAAAGAAGTAGGCGGCATTGTTGCCGGCATCATCTCCAAGCTGAGTTCGGATGGCATCGCAGTAAGCAAGCCAGAATGACTTGTTGACGTCGTTTGAGGACATTTCTGGTTGGTGAATTGACGAAGGTTGAGAAAATGTTGTGTATAGTTTAATGTATAGTGCGGTGCAGTGCAGACTCGCTCTCGATAATGGTTTTGTCTTTTTCCTGGGAAGATAGAGATTTATATGGCAATGGGCCTCTTGGAATCAGCCAAATCAGAACAGTGCTGTCCTAACAACACTTCGCCGAGTCACCTTGACAGTGGACTATGCGGTGCGGATCCCTTCGCAGATCACGACAAAGAGTCAGGATTCCAGCTAAGGATGCTGCTACCATCTCGTCTGTTGGCTCCATAGTTGCAGGAAGTGGAGAATCACACTGCGTAAGTGCACCTGAGTAGCGAATGTAGAACGTCGAAGTTTGAGGTACTGATGGAACAAGCTGAGGTCGATTTCACCATCGCCGTGTAGCTTATGCGACTGGTCGAATTGTAAACTTAAACTTGGGGCATCCGGTATATGTACGGAGCTCATTGGCGATGGCGCGGCGAACTGGAACTGAGCCAAGCCTGAAGGAGGCAGTATCTCGTAGCTCTTGTCATAAACGCATGTACTTGCATTTGCAGATGATGTCAGAACACGAGTTGGAGAACGATCCTGAGGCTAACTCGAGTCATGGCGGACGCGATGATGTCGGCAGATCTCCTCGATGTGGACAGAAACCTTGGGAGGAAAAAGCAACCATAAGCGAAGGGACAGCGCAGCTGCCGGAGTGTTATTCGGACTGGCCGGCACTAGTGAGTCAGTCCGATGTTGGGGTAGTCTGCATCCGTATCGTTTTGACGTGGAATTATGTTCTCTTGTTGTGACCTAGAAATCCCCGGCGGTGTAGTAGTTCATAGCTGCGGCTGGAGCAAATTTGCAGTGCTTCGAATCGCACTGCTCGAATGGTACCCGCTATTCACCCTATCGCTCATGAAGCTCTCAAAGATGAAGACTGGAGCATGGCCAGGGTAGACGCGCAATCCGATCAGCGCGAGCCGGCAACCTGGCCAAGCTGAGAGATGCGCATTTGTTGCACGATGTCACCTTCTGACAGAACGTGGCAGTCAGCTCTAGTCGATCTCTCTACGGGTGAGGCGGAACCAGCCTGCTTGCTGCCGTGCGGATCATCCGCTGGCCGGCAGGTGTGGATGTGATCAGCGGATTGCGGGTACTAGCTCACCCGCTAGTACCCTGATATCCTCAAAACACCTTCAGGGCTCCTTCTGTAAGCGACACCATTGTCCAAGAATGGACAACATTGGTCAAGAGCTTTCGGGCAGGTGCATTTCAGCACGTCACTTGCTGCAGACAAGGATCAACATCACCCCTCACCCAGTCGAGAACGTGGTCCGCATTCCTTCACTGCATTCGCCCTATGCAGTGATACCCTGGAATTCGGAGGTCAGGGGCCTTAGTGAGGATTCGGCGTTCCTATGATTTCGACTACTACTACTGGAGATCTTGCGGGTAGTGTGTAGATCTTTGTTCCTGTTGATCCTAGCGGTGAGTGCGTGGAGGAGTCCTTAAGCTTACACCATTGCAGGCATCGTTGACAGTGTCACTGGTAGTTATATATGACGTAGAGCTTGGATAGTGTTCATTCTTCGTATTGATCAGCGACCGTGATTTCATATCTACATAGCGCTTCATATCATATCGACATCCCTGGGTATTATATCCACCAAACCACCCTTCACTTTCAATTCCTCCCGAATGTTGTCCAATGCCAGCATGTGCCAACCCAGTCGAAGAAGATATTACATAGATGTGTGCGTGTCGTTGTCGTGATGATGCGTCTAGGCTTGCGCCGTTCTTTGTAGTTGTTGTTGTAATGCTAAGCCGCCATTTTGCTATGCAAGCTGAGTGAAAGAAGAACAGAACGAGGGTATAAGGGAAAGTCAAACGCTTGAACGCAGCAGAACGCCAGTGAAACCCATAAATACAAGAAACTCATTATGAGTAGTAGTGAAGGAAATGGCCACCAGGACTGTGAGAGCGCAGCTCGCAAGAATTGAAGATGATGTTTAGACGCTGACGGTTCGTCGGACGCCTACCTCGGGCTTCTTTGCGTAGCCGATGAGGAGTTTGAAGCTAGTGCCGCGCTTCTCGCACTCGTTGATGAGGCTTTGGTCGCGCCAGATGCTGGTCTCCAGGAGGTTGCCGGAAGCAGCGGCGCCAGGTTGGCCGGCCTCAGGTAGGACGAGCGACTCGTAACAACGTGAGTACCACCATCGACCTACGCGCGCCACCATGTCGGTGATGCCGGTATCGTTCGATTCGGAGGACGAGGTGGCGTTGAGCAGATCGGAGAAGGATACTTCAGGCTTGGGTCCTTTTGGTGCAGGCATGTTGTTTGTCTTGCTAGAAGAGCTGGCTGTGCTGCCCTTCCTCTTCGTGATGTTTTGCTTGACGTCATCGAGGTTGGGTAGCTTGCCGGCAACCGGAACGCCGACAACGCAACGATTGCACTCAACGAAACCCTTGCGCCCGATGCCAGCCATGACTTCGTCACTGATGTTGCGAAGCGAAATGCTTTCATCTGCGACTTGCATCCTCATCTTGAGCCCACGAACAGCGCGACGAGCACGGTTGCCCATGTTGACTAGGTCCATGTCAAGTACTGAGAACTCAAGGTACCCACCAGGTCTAAGGACGCGCTTGGCTTCAGACAGGATGAAGCGGTGTTCCGACGAGGGAAGTGCAGTGGGGAAGCGAAGCACAACGCAGGCGAAGAAGTGCATGGGAAACGGGAAGGCCTTGCCGAGAGAGGGGTGGTAGATATGACGGTGGTTGCTGAGTGTTGACAATGGCTCAGAAGCGCCCTCGGTTGATGCAGTGGGTGATGGATCGGGGCCCATGTCATAGACAGTCGCTTCAGGGTATGTGAGTGCGCAGTAGTAAGACCAGTCTTTGCCAAGACCATCGATGACAAGTACGCGGTCCTCGCTTGGGTCTTTCAATTCAAAGTGCACGGGGCTGAACAAGACGCGTCCGAAAGAGAGCCACTTGCTTGTCATGAGAGCGCCAAAGCGAAGGTTTGCCATCGACAAGAGCCCGTCCGCCTGGCTTTCGGCAATGTCCATCATGCGTGTGTCGCGGTAATGGGTGGTGCTGGCACTGTCGCGATCTTTGCTGGACCTTGAAGCAATGGTGGCTTTGGACTGTCGAGCACTCTGGGACAACGAGGCTGGGAGACTGGAGCGAGTCGAACGCTTTGTAGCAGTCCCAGCCGATAGCTGAGGACTGGAAGGTAAGCTCAGTCTGCCAGTAACAGGGTCAATGACGCTGATCTTGCGCTCGCCGTAGTCAGAGATGAACTCCGAGAAAGAGATCGACGACGTAGGTGACTGCGTCGAGTGCAAAACAGCAAGTAGACGAGAGCGACGAAGATGAAGTGAGGGGTTCGCAACTTCATCATTGTCTGATCCTGAAATGTTGCGCGGGGCTTTGGGTCTCAAAGGCATTGGCTCGAGAGAAGGGTGACTGCGAAGGCTGTTGTTGTCTTCCTTCGTGCGAGGGGTGACAGGCGAGAGCACCTGATCGATCAGGTCGTCATACTCGTTCCAGAGTTCATCGTCTGAGAGCGGCGCGCTAGGACTCGGTACGACAGCGGTACCAGCAGCAGGTGCAAAGCTCCAGATACCTGAGCTACTTGAGTAGGATACTTCGGAGTCTTTACGAGGTGGGAACTTGAAGAACTCGGTCCGACGATTGGCCTCATCTTCCATAGGGCTAATAGTAGCGATAGCCGATCCATGGGTCAGAGCGGTTAGACCGTGCAGAATAGGATATGGCTCCACCGGACCAGCAGTTGCGACAACAGATCCAATGGAATCGAAAGATGTTCGCGGGGGAGCTGTTGGACGAGGTTGGTTCGACACAAAAGGACGAGAGAACGAACGCGAAGACGGGCGAGGTGCCTGACGACGACTAGATACGACCTGAGGGATACGGCCAACTTGCGCCAAGCGACTTGGTCGAGGGGGTGGGCTCGTAGGCGGCGGACCAGGTGATGGAAGATTCTGAGGAAGAACAAATTCTTCTTGTGCGGGTGCATCGTGAACTGGCTCTTGCTCGGGCTCGGGCATGTGAGAGGGAACTGCTACATCCAGCGGCGGCGCAGAGCCTTCGTCGCGCATCGGCGAAGGTTCATGAAACGGTGATGAGGGTCGAGAAAGGTCCGTAACAGGGGTCAGGTCACCCAGCGAGTAACGCTCAGAGTTTCGGGACACGGATCGAACATTCGTGTCGATGATCAACTTGCTCTGTTGCTGTTCCGGTTGTTGTTGTTGTGCTTCAGAGCGCAGAAAGACCTTGGGCGAAGCCGAGCGGGGTGCTGCCAGGGTGGATGGCAACACTGGTTTAGGCGGGAGCAGCATGGACTGCATTCGCTCTTTCCTTCCTGGTTCGTCGTCGGAGAGGGCGCTCTCAGTCCCCTCATCGACCTCCTGCATCAACTGCTCAATGTCGTCCAATTCAAGCCCTGACTGGTCCATCAACGCGTAGTGTGCGACAGAGCGAGAAACAGTTGCTTGGTTGGAAGGGCTGGCGGTAGGAGCAGCTGGTGTTGGGGCGCGTGGTCCGGCATGGGCACGTTGAAAGAAGTTCCATCTTTTTGAAGGCTTCGGCGCTTCCTTCTCGGCCTTGCCTTTCTTGGACGACTTCAACCAAGAGCCCTCTTTGATATCAGCGGCTGTCTCGCTTATCGAGTTCTTGCGGATCTTCCCAGTAATCCGGCTGTTCGATCCTGACGGTGCGCTAGGGCCCTGTGCGCTTTGTAGAGCTCGTGACGTCCGTTTCGAGGCCATGGAGGGTAGGAAGGATCTCTTGGTATCGTCATCACTCTCGGAAGGTCTTCGCAATCCCATAGTCATCTTCTTCATCGGGGATCCATTGCGTGAACTGTCCGGCATAGCAGAAGGCAGCAATGTTGGTCGGTTCTTCTCAAGGGCTGATTGAGATGTGTTGCTCACTGTCTTGTTCAGTTCCAATCCATGACCAACTGAGACGTCTAGACT